GGGTACGCGGGTACGCTTGCAAACTCTTCCATTGAAGCATTGGGTGAACCTCCCCCGATTGGGCCGCGAAGCGCGTGTGCCAGCAGCTGGGGCCTCCGGAGGAGCTTTCCCATGGGGCCACGAAACGTGTGAGCGGGTGTGCCGACATGGGCGCGGGGACGCACGCAATTGTTGTCATTGCGGTCTTCGGTGGAGCTCTCTATGGGACGACATACCGTTTGAGGGGTGTGCCGAAATTGCGAAATTGGTGCTGGCCGCGTGCGAAGTTTGCCAATGCTCCTGCCGGTGGGACTCCACATGGAGGCACGAAACGTGTGAGAGGTGTGCCGAAACTGGCGCTGGAACTTATGCAGCCTTTGCAACTGGGGCTTTTGGTGAAGTTGCCTATTGGGCGCGAGGACGTATGCAGCATGCAACCTTTACCTTTGCGGCCTTCGGTGGAGCTCCCTGTGGGGCAAGACTCTTGCCAGATAGTGCGATCAACATGGAGACATGATGAGTGACATCTTCCAGGATCCAAGGCAGCCCGATCAGACGTGGGTACAGTACATCAAGAGATGAAACGGAGCATGCTTACGAAAGGCGAGAGAACGTGGATAACGCGATCGGGTTGAGACTCAGCAGCCGCGAGAGGCAACATCTGTATCTCTTCATGAGAATGGCGGGCGTAAAGCATGGAACCAGAAACTTGTTCTCTGGGCGCCGTGGCTCCGAGCGTGTCGCACCAGACGCACACAACGTCCCCACAGGCGATCGTGTGGCACCTGAGCGACCCCCCGTTCTCCCCACTCCTCCCTCCTCTCCCTCCCCCCCCCCTCCTCCCTCCTCCTCTTCCTCATCCTCCTCCCCTTCCTCCTTCCTCCTTCCTCCTCCTCCCTCCTCTCCCTCCTCCCTCCTCGTCCTCCTCCCCCCTCTTCCCCCTCCCCTTTCGCAGGCAGACGATGCAGAACGCCATGCTATGTAGTATTCTCGCTCGATCTGTCCAGGCGCTGTCTTTTCAAGCGCCACGTGAAAGGCTCGGCACATCGCGGCCTGTCTGCAGGCCGCTCTGTCTCGGTGTGTGTCCTTCCAGTGGTATCGTAACGTTTGAGGTTTGTGCCGAAATTGACACGCGCATGGCAGAGGTAAGTTGAGACTCGCGACGCTGGGAGGGGCGGGGAGGGGGTGAGTTGACGCGGGGCGCGGCGGATGCAACATGGGGACCCAACTCCACAGGATGGTTGGGAACACAACAGGTACACTGATGGGGCTCTCGCTTGGCATTTCGTGACTTGTGTGATCCGATCGGCGAGATTGTGCAACAGCTACAAGGACGGATGGGGCTCCGTTGATCAAACAGGGCTCTCGCTTGCGACGTCGAACTTCATTCGAGAGGCTTGCGCAATTCCGCCGACCCCCACCACGGATAGTTCGCGACGATCGCGGACACCGTCCGGACCGCTTGAGGCTGAATACATGGGCCGTCTGGGGTCCCTTGGGATTGTCTGTTTTGGGCGGGGTATGTTCCAGAGTGTTGACGGCGTGGGGGTGGCTTTTCGGACATTTTCGGGGGTTCTTGGGGGTCATTTGTTTTTTTGTTGTACCCTTTAGAGGTTTCTTGAGGCCTCTTGGGGGGTTCTTGGGCGCATGTTGGCGGTCTCGGAAGCTCTCTTGGGGCAGACGGCTCGGAACGTCAGTTCGAGTTACCCCTCTTGAGGCCCTGTTGTGGCCTTCTTGGGTCGTCTTTGGCGCTTATTTGGCCGTCTTGTGGTCATCTCGGGCCCCTCTTGGGGGCTTCTGGGGCCGTATCGGAGCGATCTTGGGAGCCTCTTGAGCCGTCTTGGACGCCGTTAAGGCCAAAACGGCACTTGACGATGTCCTTCAGGGAATTTGACGATGCTTGCATCTTAGGTCCTTGTCGGGGGTCATCTTGGAGCTCAAGACATTTGGGCCGTCCTGAAGCCGTTTTATTTGTGTTTGATCTCTCCTAGGCGTGTGAGAGCCCAAATTGAGCAAGCTTAGGTGCTTATGTGGCATCTTCGGCATCTTGGAGGCCACGGACTAAAGATCTGAAGCTCTGGAAGCCCCATGGGGAGCGTTGAGGAGCTCGTCCACCGCCGCCCCCCATCAGACGCGATTTCATACCTCCGGGGAAAGGGAAAGGGGGAGGGCAACAGCTATTTCACACGCCTTTTCAAGCCTGGGCAAGCGGAGATCCGCGGATTACGATAATTTTGACGCTGCGCGTCGCTTGCACGATTGAATGTTGCATATGTTCCCAAACAGAGCTCTGGCTCCACACTTCCTTACCTTTTTCTTCTTATTCCTGAAAGCTGGGTGGAAGGTTCATCATTTACAAAATGAGGTCTCGACTAAATCGCAGGCCCACGCGGCGTTCGTCTGTCAAGGGTGTCGTTTTCCATTTTAGCTCAAACGTTTGGCTCAGTGGAGCTCTTGAAGTTGGCAGTGTGTGTAGTTGCTGGCGGGCCAGTACCCCACCAGCTATGTTCAGCCCGCGCGCGATGTTTCGCGAAGGTGAGGCGACTCTCGCCGAGCAGGGGAAGGAGAAGTCCTCTGGGCTCAGCTCGGCCCCCACGCGATGCCCAACGGCGGAGATCCCTCCTTTCGACGACGACCGGGACTCCGACGCGAACGAGGAGAGCTGGGGCGCCACCGCGCTGCCGAGAACCGGTGACGAGCTGGAATTCGAGACGGCGCTCCCCGAGGCGGTGCTCTTAGGAGGCCGGCGCCCGTCTGCGGTGCCAGCGCCGCGGAATGCCCCCGTCAGGCGCCTCCGCTCTGAAGCGTACTGGGAGCAGAAGGCCGCCGCCGCCGCCCGGCCGCCGACATGCTCGCCCTGGGAGGTGGGCGTGAGGCAGCGACGCCCGCGCCTCGACGAGGAGGGCTGCCTCGGGCCAGCGGCGACCGTGACGCCTGCAGCAGACGGCGCCGGGGCGGCGGCGGCCACGACGCCAGCAGCGGGAGGCGCCAATGGCGGCGCAGGCGCCGCCGGCGGCCCCAGGAGCTGGGCGGGCGCCATCGCCAGGGAGCTGCGCCGTGCGGCGCGCGGGCCCGTTGCGCCGCCGGCCCCGCCGCCTGGGCCGCCCCCCGCCCAGCCGCTGGGGGCCGCTCGGAGGTGGCGTGGCCGCTCGCACCATCCGGCTGGGAGTCGATAGGTGAGCAGGAGAAAACGGAGCCACATAGCTGCCCGTTCGATGTCGACAGCGCTTCATGGCGCCAACATCGCAGAGCGGATTTCGTCCGGAAAACGATCGGATGGGCCCGGGGTGTCCTGGATAATTTCGTTCTGGATGTCGAGGTGGATTTCGTGCGGATCTTTTGGTCAGGAGTAAAAATCCACGCGAAATTCACCTCGTTGTTCACTCGCCGTTTCGGGGTTTTGCGCTAACAGATCTCCACGCAAGAACCCGCTGCAGCACGTCTGCAAGGTCGGTGCAGTGAAGCGTTGCTGATGTTTGCAACCCTCCTGCCGCTCCTCCAAGAGCTGTCCAACTGTGTAGTTCTCGCCAGGCCGACTTGCCGGCGTTTAACCGCGTCCAGAACGAATCGTGCACTCATGCATCATGCCAGTTGTGCACCCTGCATGTCGTGCACATCAGAGGAGCAGGAAGGCATGACGTTCCAAGTTCTACAGGATTCTCCATCTGCTTCAAGGTCGAGACCATTAGATACTCTGTAAATCTTGGAACGCACCCGCAGTCAATCTATAATGGCATCCTGCTCGTCCTAATTCATTTGTTTGACAGTTCTGGCATGGGTCCACACCCACCCAATGGGAATCTTATAATTGTTGTTGCTGCGCGCCAGTCCAGAACTTGCTGCGCCTGCGCCCGCAGCCACAATTGTTTGGGCGGTTTGCGAAACGGCTTGTCCCAAGGGTCGCCGTTTGAGCGGACGAATATTTTTGAATGGGAATGGCGATGGGAATACTTAGCGCGTGTGGCCGAATCAGATCCAGCAACATCGGCACCGTTGACTAGATCGACGACGGCGATGCAGTTGCCGAGAGCTTGCGATTTCAATAGTTTAATTCAAATCGGCAATACGCATGCACGCTCGTATCCCTGTCGCTGCTTCCTTGCAGGCGGCGTACTGCAGGCAAGGTCGCGTACGATGCCTCAGCAAACGTGCACAAGACATGTTTCGAACCAGATGCGCCAGCCTAGGGCAATGTTGACACGATGGAGCTTCCCCGCTCTGTACATGAGACGCGATTTGTTGGGGGGGGGTCCCGCTTTACGTAGTGATTGCTCTTTGCGGATTGTTTACGGTTCTCTATTCTCACTTGAGTTGTCCAGGGCATCGATGTCCGCCAGTCGCCCCTCGTTTGTAGAGGGGCCACACGGTTCTAATTTGAACCATGTCGTTCTTGTAAACGAGGATGTTTCCCGCTTCGTGCATGAGACGCGAGATACGGTGAATCTTCGAGTTTCTTGGATGATTGCGCCAACACGTTTCTTGTTGCAACGGGGTGTAAATGTGGTGGTTCGAGAGGGAGAGGAGGGGTCAGACCCAAACGATCACGCGCGACACGAACCGAAACCGAACACCCATCCAGTTTTGGTGGCACAACAGCCTAACCTGTTGCGCCCCCTTTTGCGGTGGCATGTTCTTGTCGCAACGCATGGACGAATGCTGCTCTGCGCCAAACAGAAGATCGTCTGCCTGCGTTGACCATTTTGCAGTTCTGGCGTGCAGCTGGACGGCCTTGGCGAAAAGAAACAAGAAAGGGTGTCGTTGCCCGCAGTGGAGAGAAACACCTGCAGGGACCTGTGAGGCGGGGGCTGGGGACGGGAGCGCGCATTGCGGCATCGTTGGCCCATCTTGGGTGCATTCCGGTCTTCGTCCGCCTCCTCCTCGCCCTCCTCTTCCCTCTCCTCGTTCGTTCGCGTGTTCGCCTGTTCGTCTCGCTCGCTCGCTTGTCGCGCTCGTGCGCCTCGCTCGTTCGCGCCCTCCGAGAGCAGCGCGCCGGGGCGCGCGGCGAGGCGGCGGGGCGGCAGGTGCTCCTGAAGCTCATGAGCAGCTCGCAGATCACGGGGTACTTCCAGGCGCGCCCCCGGGGCCCGGCGCCCGCGCGGCCGGCGGGTCCCCCCCCCGGCCTCGGCCACGCGCGGAGCGTCGGGAGGGAGCAGAAACACACAGGCACAAGTCATCGTCGACTCCCCAGAGAACGTGAGAAGATGTGGGAAGTGGGGGGGGGAGACAAAGCCCCAGGAGATCTGGGAAAGTGGGGGGAATCCCGTCATTTGTGCGTATCCAGTTGTGTGTCCCAGGGCCCCTTCGGGGTAGGGGGGAGGGGGGGAGGAGCAGCGACACTACCACCATCAGGAGGGCCACCTCCAGCGAGGAGGTTCACGAGGCCTCTGGGGTAGGGAATGTCTCGAGCGAGATGGGGGGGACCACGCCCTCAGGGGGACCCCCCCTAGCTCCTCCCGCTGGTGGTCCCTGGTGGTGCCGGTGTCGCTCTCCCATGCTCCTCTGTAGGGGGAGGGGCGAAGGCTTCTCAGACGGAGGCTGCTGAGAAGGCGCGGCCGGCGGCCCCCCCCCCCGCCTCGGCTACGCGCAGGGAGGAGATACGGCAGGACCGAGGTATAAGATCGAGGTCGGTTCTGAGAGGGTGCCCTGATGTTCTTCGTGTTCGTTGGGTGGTCTTGTGCATCCTGAGGGAGGGTACCCTCGAGTGTTCTTCAGTTTGGCCGGTGGAGGGTCTCATGTTCTTGAGGGATGTTCTTCTGTCCTAGGTCCAGCCGTGGGGGGAGGGGGGAAGGCTTCGTAGAAGGAGGCTGCTTCTTAGAAGGCGCGGGCCTTCTCCGTAGATGTAGGGCCAGCGCCTTCCAAGAAGCAGCCTCCTTCTATTGAGTCTTCCCCCCTCCATACCCTCTTCGTGCGCGCCGCCGACTATCAAAGAAATGCAACAACTGCATGGGTATGAATTTCCATAAGTCCTCGCAGATGCCAGATTGTTATTCACATCCGCTGCGCGCCTCTCCCTTGCAGCGCTTCCGGCGCCGCGCTGCACTCCGCGCGCTCTGCGGAAGTCCGCGCGAGCCTCCGAGAGTGTGCATGCATGGTGCTGTTATTCCACGTCTCCGCCCCCTCCCTCCCCCCATCCCCATGCATGCCTCTGCTGTCCTGCGCTCTTGGGCACACTCGCCTGGAGCTCTTGCGCTCCACCCCCAGACCAACCCCCAGCCCTGGCTGCTGGTCCTGCAGGTGCTGCAGAGTATGCTCTGCGCGCGCACCGTGCCTCGCTGACTTTGTAGTGCGCAAGGGAACCAAACCCCTGACCAGAGCTCATTGACCATCTGAGCTCCGGGCTCAGGGCTCACGCTGGTTGATACCGCTCTTCTCGCCGTGTAGGCTGGGGGGTCCAGGTGCAGGCGCTGGGCAGCGCTCCGTGTTGTTGGGGCCTTTAGCTGCGGGGGGCTTTTTCCTCACGCGTTTGAATGGTCTCCTCCCTACGGCTCGGCGCTGCCAGGGATGTTGGGAAAACCTGCTGGGAACGCCGCGTCGGTCCCAGCCAGGGCCAGGGGCGGACTGCCCGCGCACACGGCACGTGTGTCCGGACAGACTGGCCGCGCCACATCCGGCGGTTGCGATCTGTTTTCGTTGAGGGGTCGAGACAAATCGAGCACGTCGCCCCGTCTTTTCTCTTCCGTCTCTTCTCTCACCCGTCTGTTCTCTCCCCCCCTCCCCGCGCTCCCTCCCGCCCCGTACTGGCGGCTGACGGGAGAGGAGGCGGGGGAGGGAGGTGGGATGTGGGGGCCAGGATACAAGGAGAATCGCTGGTGTGGGAGGTGCAGGAGAGAGTTCGGCGGTGGAGTGCGGGGGGGGGAAGGAGTCCCAAGGCAGGATCGCAAGGGGGGCGGTGAGGACGCCACGCGGGGGGGAGGCGGAGGACGACACTGGCCTCGCCAGTGCAGAGAGAGTATGAATGAGATAATCTACTTCTCCTCGTCTCCTCGTCCGCCTCCTTCTCTGCTCCTCTCCTCCTGCATCCCTCTCCTCCTCCTTCTCGTCCTCCTCCTCCTCCTCCTGTTCATCATCACTATCATCAGCAACATCATCATCGTAGTCATCGACAGCATCATCATCAGCATACTCGTCACCATCATCGTCGTCATCAACACCATAATCATCATCATCGTCAGCATCACCATCGCCATCATCACCACCATCATCATCATCATCATCATCATCCTCACCCTCGTCGTCGTCATCATCGTCATCGTCAGCATCCTCATCACAAACAACAGCACCAGCATCAGCATCGGCATCATACTCATCATCGTCAATCTCATCATCACCATCACCATTATCAGCAGCCTCATCATATTCATCACCGTCATCATCATCACCATCACCATCACAGTCTTCATCATCATCGTCGTCATCATCACCATCATTACCATCATCGTCGTCATTATCATCATCATCAGCATCACATAATCATCATCGTAATTATCTTCACAACAATCAGCAGCATCATCATCAGCATCATATTCATCACCATCATACTCGTCACCATCATCACCATTACAATCTTCACCATCATCGTATTTATCCTCACCATCTTAACCGTAATCATCGTCGTCATCACCATCACAATCTGAATATTCATAATCATCGGAACCATCACCAAAATAAGCAGCATCAGCATCAGCATAGTTAATCCCACTCATCATAATCATCAGCATCAATATCATCATCACCATCATATTCATCACCATCATCATCGTCGCCATCATCACCAGCACAATCTTCATCATCATCGTAATCAGCATCACAATCTTCACCATCACCATCGTCGTCAGCACCAACACTATCACAATCGTCATAATCATCAGAAGCAAAATCACACGGCAGTATCAGCATCTGCAGCATCATCATATTTACCATCATCAATATCATCATCACCGTCATCATCAGCATCATATTCATCATCATCGTCGCCATCATCACCACCATCACAATGTTGATCATTATCGTAAGCATCATCACCATCTTCACCATTATAGTCAACGTCATCATTGCCAGCACCATCTGCATCATCACCGTAATCATTATCACCACGATCAGCATCATCAGCATCAGCATCATCACCAGATTCATCATCATCATCATCACCATCATCATCATTATCCGCATCATCGGATGCATCACCATCATCCTTGTCGTCATCATCATCACCATCACAATCTTCACCATCATCGTAATCATCATCACCATCGTCACCATCATCATCGTCGTCATCATCACCATCACAATCATCATCATCATCGTCATCAGCATCACCACGATCAGCAGCATCAGCATCATCATCATATCCAGCATCATACTCAGCATCATCATCATCAATGCCATCATCACCATCATCATCAGCGTCATCATATGCATCACCATCATTACCGTCGTCATTATCATGACTATCACAGTCTTCATCATCATCGTCGCCATCATCACCACCATCACAATGTTGATCATTATCGTAAGCATCATCACCATCTTCACCATTATAGTCAACGTCATCATTGCCAGCACCATCTGCATCATCACCGTAATCATTATCACCACGATCAGCATCATCAGCATCAGCATCATCACCATATTCATCATCATCATCATCACCATCATCATCATTATCCGCATCATCGGATGCATCACCATCATCCTTGTCGTCATCATCATCACCATCACAATCTTCACCATCATCGTAATCATCATCACCATCGTCACCATCATCATCGTCGTCATCATCACCATCACAATCATCATCATCATCGTCATCAGCATCACCACGATCAGCAGCATTAGCATCATCATCATATCCAGCATCATACTCAGCATCATCATCATCAATGCCATCATCACCATCATCATCAGCGTCATCATATGCATCACCATCATTACCGTCGTCATCATCATGACTATCACAGTCTTCATCAGCATCGTAAGCATCATCACCATCTTCACCATCATCATCGTCGTCACAACCATCACCAATGTCGCAATCAGCATCAGCACAATCAGCAGCATCAGCCAACATCATCATCAGCATACTCATCATCATCAATATCATCATCAATATTAGCATCATCGTATTCATCACTATCGTCATCAACGGCATGGTCATCACCATCGCCATCTTCATCATCATCGTAATCATCATCGCCATCGTCACCGTCATCATCGTAGTCACCACTTTCACCATCACAATCATCATCGTAATTTTCACATCGCAATCATCATCACCACAATCAGCAGCATCAGCATCAGCATCACCATCATCACCATCACACTCTTCATCACTATCGTAATTTCGATCACCACAATCAGCAGCATAAGCCTCAGTATCATCACCATACTCGTCATTATCAATATCATCATCACCTTCATCATCATACGCATCATCATATGCATCCTCATTTTACTATCGTCGTCGTCAGCATCACCATGACAATCTTCGCCATCATCGTAATCATCACCACCATCTTCACTATCATCATCGTGGTCATCACCATCACCATTACCATCATCATCATCATCATCATCATCATCATCATCATCATCACTACCGTAATCAACATCACCACGATCAGCAGCCTCAGCATCAGCATCATCATCATACTCAGCATCATAAGTATCATCATCACCATAATCATCAACCTCATACTCAGCACCTTCATCACGGTAGTCATCACCATCACCATCGCAGTCTTCATCATGATCGTAAGTATCATCACTATCTTCAGCATCATCATCGTAGTCATCACCATCGCCATCACACTCATCATCACAGTCTTCATCATCATCGCAGTCATCTTCACCACAATCAGCAACATCAGCATCGGCATTATCCTCATACCCATCAACATCAATGTCATCACCACAATCATCATCATCAGCACCATCACGGTCATCATCATCATCGTAATCGCCGTCATCAGCATCACCATTACAATCACCATCCTGTGATCAGCATAACCATTTTTACCATCATAATCGTCGTCATCACCATCACCATCACAGTCATCATCATCGTACTCATCATCACCACAAGCAGAAGCGTCAGCATGTGCATCATCGTCATCATCATCATGCTCATCACCATCAATATCACCATCGACATCATCATCATCATCAGCATCAGCTTCATCATATTCATCACCATCATCAGCGTCGTCATCATCATCACCATCACAATGTGCATCATCCTCGTAATCAGCATCGCCATCTTCACCATCATCATCGTCGTCATCACCATCACCATCGCAATCTTCATCATCGTAGTAATTATCAGCACCATCAGCATCATACGCATCAGCATCATCAGCATACTCGTCATCATACATATCATCTTCATCAGCATCATCATTTTCATCATCATCATCGTCGTCACCATCATCACCATCACAATCGTCATCCTCATCGTAGTCGTCATCACCATCTTCACCATCATCATCGTCGCCATCATCGCAAGCACGATCTTCATCATCGTCGTTATCATCATCATCGCCACAATCAGCAGCATCATCATCATCATCATCCCACTCATCGTCAGCAATACCATCATCGCCATTATCTTCAGCTTCATCATATTCATCACCATCAGCATCGTCGTCATCACCATGACCATCGCAATCTTCATCATCAACGTCATCAGCATCGCCATCTTCACCTCCATCGTCGCCATCACCATCACCATCGCAAGCTTCAGCATCATCGTACTCATTATCAGTACCATCAGCAGCATAAGCATCAGCATCATCATCAGAGTCGTCATCATAAACACCATCATCAGCATCATCAGATTCATCACCATTATCATCGTCGTCACCGTCATCACCATCACTATCGTCATCATCATCGTAATCATCATCATCATCTTCACCATCATCATCGTCGTCAACACCACCAGCACAATCTACAATCAGCAGCCTCAGCATCAGCATCATCATCATACCCATCAACAGCAATATCATCATCATCACCATCATCATCCGCATCATCATATTCGTCACCATCACCAGCGGTCTATTACCATCACCATCACAATCATCATCATCATCATCATCATCATCATCATCATCATCATCATCGTACTTATCATCACCATCTTCACCATTAGCATCATCGTCATCACCATCACCATCGTAATCTTCATCATTATCGTAATCATCATCACCACAATCAGCAGCATAAGCATCAGCATCATCATACGCATCACCATCTTCAATTTCATCACTATCATCTTCGTCAGCATCATCATATGCATCACCATCACTATCGTCGTCATCATCATCATCATCATCATCACCATCAGCACCTTCATCGTAGGCATCATTACCGTTTTCAACCATCATCATCGTCGTCATCAGCATCACCATTACAATCTTCATCATCACCATCTTAATCATCATCACCAAAATCAGCAGCATCAGCATCAGCATCATCACCATACTCATCATCATCAATATTAGCATCATCATCATCAGCATCCTCGTATTCATCACCATCATCATCATGATCGTCAATATCAGCATTACCATCACAATGTTCATCATCCTCGTAATCAGCATCACCATCTTCTCGTCATCAGGCATCACCATCACAATTTTCATCATCATCGTACTCATCATCACCACGATCAGGAGCATCAGCATCGGCATCATTATCATACTCATTATCATCATCATCACTAACATCATCACCATCATCATCATCAGCATCATCATATTCATCATCATCGTCGTCATCATCATCAAGAAATCAATATTCATCATCATCGTAAGCATCATCACCATCAGCATCATCACCATCGTCGTCATCACCATCACCATCACAATCTTCATCATACTCGCAATTATTATCACCACGATCAGCAGCACCAGCATCATCATCATACTTATCATCATCAATAGCATCATCACCATCATCATCAGCATTATAGTCATCACCATCATCTTCGTCGTCATCATCACCACCATCACAATGTTGATCATCATCGTAATCATCACCATATTCACCATCACCGTCGTCGTCATCACAATCACACTCATCATCATAGTATTTATCATCCCCACAATCAGAATCATTTGCATCATCATCATCATAATACTCATCAACACCAATACCACGATCACAATCATCATCAACATCAGCATATACACCACCATCATCATCGTCGTCACCATCATCAAAACCACAATCTTCATCATCATCGTAATCATCATCACCATCTTCACCATCATCATCGTCGTCATCACCATCACAATCATTGTCATCGTCACCATCACAATCATCATCGCCACCAGCAGCGTCAGCATCAGCATCATTATCATACTCATCATCATCAATATCACCATCATCAGCTTCATTATATGCATCACCATCATCATCGTCATCATCATCACCATCACAATGTTTATCATTATCATCATCGTAATCATCATCACCATCTTCATCATCCTCATCATCATCATCACCATCACAATCTTTATCGTCGTCGTAATCATCGTCACCACCATCAGCATCATCATCATCGCCTCCGAGTGCTTGTCCCATCAGCCCAGAGAGGGCGTCGGAAGAGGCGCGATGTCTCGATTCCGCGGTCCACGAGATCTTCCCGACCAAGGCCCACGAGTTAGTGCACGACGTCGCTAACTGGAGGGGCACAGCTTTCTGGAGGCAGACGCAAGCCGTGGGGTTCCAAGTCAACCCGTGCCGCCAGTCCAGGAAGGGGAGGTGGGAGCACGCTCTGGGGTACACGAGACCTCGACAATTTGACAACATTATGCTGGAGACTTTCGGTGTTACGTGAGCGGTCAGAGGGCCTTCAATGCCACCATGGGCTCCGATGCTTGGGATCGACTGGTGATGCAGGCTTATGGGTCGTCGGCAATGCTGCTGCCGGCTTGTGGCAGGATGAGTACACGTTCTTTGTTAGAGGTGGATTATCCCATGAAGAAGCCTCGGTTAGCACCTCTTGCCACGGTCTTTTGGTCACCGGTCCACTCGGCACCCCGTGTCGAATTCGCAGGCGCCCCAAGTTTGATAGTGAAGTGGATGAACGGTCTGTGGTTGTTGCGGAGAGGCCGGTACAGCGGCATTGTACACGAGGTCCAGACGAAGGTGCATGCGCTTTGGAAGGAGGGTTTTATCTTACCACGGCATTTGGCGTCAGATTGGTTCTGGCACCACGATCGCGAGTACAATTCGGCAGCGGACGGATTGGCAGGAGTTGGAATGGCAATGGGGGTCCAGGATATGACGCACAATACCCAGATTTACGATTGTGCGAAAAGCAGAACCAAGGCGAAGTTTATCACGTGTATTTGGGATGGGGAGCTAAAAGGCGGCGATGTTTCTTGCGGATGTAAGATCTGGGCTGCATTTGATAGTGGCAGGGCTTGTTCTGAGGACTTGCAGTGAAATCCTTTGGCTGAGGCCGGAGTCTACCTTGAGAAGGGTACAGTCACAATTGCGGAAATTTGCGGATGCCATGGCATGGTGCGCGCTCTACACATGTTCCTTCGAGGCAACCGTGTATATTTTTGCAGACAGAGGCAGAGTTAGTCCCAAAACGCGTCTCGCACCGCCGTAACAAGCAAGGACATTATGATTGTTATGACGCGTCTGGAATCAGGAAGTGGTGGTCCAACAAAACATCACCATCATCAGCATCAACATCAGCATCAGCAACTCCATCATCGTTATCGTCATCATCACCATCATCATCATCATCATCATCGTCATCATCACCATCATCACCATCATCATCATCATCATCATCATCATCATCATCATCATCATCATCATCATCATCATCATCATCATCATCATCGCGTCCTCCTTTTTCTCACCTCCTCGTCCTCCGCCTCCTGCTCCTCGTTTTACTCCTCCTCTTCCTTTTTTTCCCACTCACCTCATCCTCATGATCCTTCCTCCCATCTCCTCGTCCTTCTCATCTTCCTCCACTGTCCTCCTCCTCCTCGTCGTCGTCGTCCCCGCTCGTTCTCCTCTTCACCCCGCTGTTGTCCACGGGGCCCGAGAAGAGGGATTGCTTGGAGGGGGGGAGGCCGTGGCAAGCCGGGGAGCGCCCAGAGGGGGGGGGGGGGGCCAGGTGCTGGTGAACATGGAGATGAGCCTGCACTCCATGGAGGCGGCGCCTGCCCCGGCCGAAGCCATCCCCAGGGCGCCGGGCCGGCTCGCCCGCGCCCGACGTTGTCGTCGCGATGTCGTCTTCGCGAGTTTATCTGCAGGCCAGCCACAACTGGGGGAGCCGTGGTCCTGACCCCCCTGGGGGACCCATCGATTTCGACACCCCTCTCTCGAGAGATCGTCGATGCGATGGGTTCCCCCAGGAGGGTAAGGACCACGGCTCCCCCGGTTGTGGCTGGTCGGATCTGCGTGTCCGTTGTTCGCCTCCGATCCGACGCAAGTCGGGCCTCGAGTTGCCGCACGAGGCCTCGTGGATTGCGAAGGCCTGACGGCCGGTGCCGCCGACCCTGAAGACGACGAAGATGAAAGCGAGGGTGACGAGGAGCAGGAGGAGGAGGAGGAGGAGGAGGAGGAGGAGGAGGAGGAGGTATAGGAGGAGCAAGAGGAGGGGAGCAAGGGGGAGGGGGAGGAGGAGGAGGAGGAGGATGTAGAGGAGGAGGAGGAGGAGGAGGAGGAGGGCCTCGAGCTGCCGCGCGAGGCCTCGTGGGTGTTCTCTGTGGCGCCTCTCCTCCTCTGAGGCAGGGCGCCGTGCGTGCAGCCGCCCCGTGCGGTGCGCTGCTCGTGCTCCTCTCCCGATCGTCGTGCTGGAAGATGAAGATTGGTCTCGTGATGTCCCAAAACTAGTCAAACATAATCTGGGGACGATGTTTGGATTACTTGTAGACTAGTTGGGAGTATGTTTGAGTATTTTTAATTTTTCGCCCAAAATCCGCCTGTAGGGGGGCACGCCCGACCTAACCTTAGTGTTATGATGCTCCAACCTGCTTTAGCCTTGATCACCAGAAAGAATCTCGAGCACCAAGAAAAGTACCGAAACTCGAGGGTTTTCGCGTGTTGGGCCCTAGGAGGCACTCGTCCGACACTGTTTCGACACGCTCTCGACACTCCTCCGGGTGCTCGAGATTATTTCTGGGATGTGGTCCTTAAGTACGATGGGAGCAACGTAAGATTGATCCTCCTCCTCCGCTCTTTCTCCTCCTCCTCTTTCGGATATGCGAGGGCAAGCGACCACACTACAGGGCCACAGCAAAGGGCCTGCGTCTCTTTGAGCCCACAGAGGTGGGACGGTCCGCCTCCGCTCTTGCATCCTCATCCTCAGCCGCCTTCGGCATTTACATGTCGCCCTTCGCCTGCTTGCTGGTGGAGGGGGAGGAGGTCTTCTTGGTCTTATTTGTGTCTTCTTTCTTCCTCTTCCCCCCCCCCCTGTGTCTCGCTGGTCTCTCTGCCAGCTCAGGTGGTCAATCGGCTCACGACCGCCGTGGACCTGCCGACAGAGTTCGTCCACCTCTACATATCCAACTGCATCTCATCCTGCGAGAACATCAAGGACCTGCTTATCCAGTTTGCGCTGCCGCGCCTGTCCACCCCCGCTCTTGAAAGGTTGCCTGGGGGAGAGGGGGGCCTGAGGAGGGGGGCAGGACAAGGTATGCGGCGGTCTTCTATTATTTGTTGTCCGTCTTGCACCGCACGGGCCTTCCGCTTGATTCGCCGTGCGTTGTCCTTCGCTGCGCTGAGTCGCTTCTTTTGTCCTGCACCATCCGAACGCCCCAGCCGTGACGCCTTAGCCTGCAAAGCGTCAAGAGGTCTGCGGCCATGCGGGGCGGATCTGTCTTGGATCGTTTCACGGGTCCCTTTTCGATGTGAGGAGCATTTGGAATGCGAAATCACATGAGTGCGTTTATTGCGAAGGCCTTACGGCCGGTGCCGCCGACCCTGGAGGACGTGCAGTACTTGCGGGGGGGGCGTCGGATCTGAGTGGCGCCCCCCCCCCGGGACCCCCTCCCGGGACCCCCCCGCTCCCCCCCCCCCCCTCCCGGCGGGGGAGGGATCAAAGGGAAGGGGCTTCCCTTCGACTCAAATACGACATTGCTGAAGTTCATTTGGGCTGGCGCGCTTGAGCAGGGGCCCCTGCTGGGAAAGAGGACGGGAGTGGCGACGGGCCCACGGAAAGGGAGGCGCAAGGAAGGGGGACGACAGAGACGACGACCAACGAACAACGGGGATGACGTCTCGAACGGAAAAGCCCCTCACACACGCCGACAGGGTCGGCGGATTTATTGCTTGGGGCATGACGGGCGTCATGGCCCCCGCCCCCCCCCCTATGACGTAACGCTCCCCCACCCCAGTGCGTTCCGGGCACTGCCGCCGTGCGCATCGTGATGCGCATAGGTGTCAGCATAGAGATCCGCATAGGAGTTCGGTCCACAGTCGTCGTCGTCGTTGTCGTCGTCGTGGTCTGCTGATGTACAGTGTCCAAGAGGTTGACATATGTTGGACTCGGATCGATTGTCAGGGGTCTCAGCAATTTTCGCCGCAAGAAGCGGAAAGCCAACGAACATAGCAAGGGCCCGGTGAACCAACCGCTGCAAGCGCGGTGACGGATTGCTGCTCCTGCGCATCCCCACGCGGCAGGGTGGGGTCTGTTAGATGTTTACACGCATGCGTCCCAGCCCGCCCGACTGCCCAGCCCGCCTGACTGCCCTGCGCGCCTTGGCTCGCCTCGGCACATCTGTCCCAGACGCACGCGTATCCCTGGGCAGCCCGACCTGCATACCCTCTCTGGCCCGACCCCCGTGCGATTCCCCGCGAGTCCTGCCCTGCATGCCCCTGCCGGGACCAGTGTCAGCCGCTAGGGCCTAGGGCGTTACAGTGGCCCGACTCACCGAGACGGCAAGAGAAGACGACACAAGAAGATTGAGCAGCGCGATAGAGAACAATGTGATTTGGCATGTCAGGCGGATGCGGAAAAACAGCGGCAGCGAACGGCAGACGGAAACGACAAACGACTCAGACCAAGAAGTGTTGGTGTGGACCGTTCGGAGCAAAAAGTACTGTTGCCCGTCGTGTGCACCCTGTCGCCAAGGACCGACGCGGCTCGCAAGAAGAACCAAGCACCGACGGCGTCGGGATTCTGGCTGGGAGGGAAGATGGCTGGTTGTCCAGGACTCTCGTGAACCAGTCGGATCACCTACGAGTGTGGTCGACAAGCATTTTCGCGTGCTCCCGCACCCTGGATTGCGGTTTCCTGCCCCCTCTTCTGACTTGAGACGCCCTCTGTCGACACACGGCCGCCGCAGTGGCCTGGGCTGCCTTGAGCCTCCATCGCCGGATCGCCGTCGCCAGCCAAGGCTCACTCAACACCATGGCGACGGCGGGACTCTGGATTGCAGGTTTTCGGTGTGTGGAGCGGGGTCAAACGGTGTGCGTCGTTCCCCTCGTGCGTTCGGATCTCTTGCTTAACTCGCTTCCTGCGCTGCCTGCTGCAGGATAAGTACATGCAGAACCGTTTGGTGCGCTTGGTGTGCGTGTTCTTGCAGTCCTTGATCCGGAACAAGATCATCAATGTTCAGGACATGCGACCGAGTAACCGGATGGCCAACCTCAAGGGATAGCAACACGCGAGCACATTGAATTTGACAGGTGTTTGTCCAGAAATGTTTTCACCGAGAACAGTGTTGATATTTGTTTTGGGCATACATCACCGAAGATCGAAGACGTGTCCTCACATGTTTAGGGCGAGAGATGTTTCTTTTCGGGTTCCAAGGCAGCTTTCCTGCACGTAGCACTGAGGGCTCTCAGGATTGTTCTCGGGGGCCTACTTTCGGGGTGCGCGGATCTGATTTCATCACTTGGCAGATCTGGTTTTGAGGTGATACGCATGTCGTATGTCTTTCACATGAATGAATCATGTCAAATGGCTTGCGAATTGAAATTATGCAGGGGGGATGAAGGGGAGCGTCCTTTGTTGCACAAGTGGGGAGTATCGCGCCGCGTAAGTACATCCCGTGTACCTGCCCACCCTCACTGATAGTTGGACCGCACCGATTGCCATGCCGGTTTCGAATCTATCTATATATATATATATAATACATATAATTTACGCAATTCTATATGAATTCTATATGTATATATGTATGTATGTATATACATATATGTTGGTGGCGATTCGTTAGCGATTGCGCCCTTGTTGGAGTTGTCTCCGCAATGTACTTCAACGCTCCTCCTCCTCTTCGCCCCGTTCTTCAGCCTCTTGCCACCGTTTTCATCTTGGGCCTCGTCATCCTCGACCTTCCATCTGCCCCCCCTGTCCTCCTGCCCTGCCCGTGTCCCTCTCCTCCCGCCACCCCTCTTCCATTCCTCGACTCCCGACTTCCCTGCTGCCCAGCATGCACTCCTGGTACTCCTCATCTCCGCCTTGGCCACCGCCTCATTTTCCTCCGCCCTGCCTCCCACTGCCCTCGCCATCTCCTCGACCTGCTCTTGCTTCTCCTGGCCCTGTCGATTCCCGTTCCTCTTCCCGTCTTCCTTGGCCTGCTGAAGCTCACCCGCCTCCGTCCCTCCTCATCGGCCCGTCGTTCTCATCCGCCTCGTCCTCGTATTGCTCACCATGCTTCTCATCCACAACTTCCTCCGTCCCCTGGTCACCCTCCGCATCCTCATGCTAAGCCACCTTCCTCTTCATAATCAGTCTCCCCTCAAATTCGTAGTCCTCAGCCCTGATGTGTCGGGATTAGGACGGAGTGGGGACATTGCAGGAACCGTGACATGTCTAGCATGTGACAGCCAAGGCACAGTCAGTTGGTAAATCTCCGTTCGCTGGTGGTTTGGTGTTAAGGTCGGGACGCATCACGGATCACACCATGCTCTAGCAGTGGCTCAGGTTTGGTCCGCTCTACCACGCCATGAAAGGCGACCGTTGGTTTGAATGTGAGTCAGCAACGTACGGTCTTCGTGATCCATCGGTCCGTTCAGTGGCCGGGTCCGCATCCAGGATCTGTTCATTGAGGTGCAGGCGTTCTGCATCGAGTTCTCGCGGATACGCGAGGCTACCCCCACAGTTTCCGCTTCACGTTGACAATGTCTCTCCTTCTCTCTCTCTCTCTCTTTCTCTGTCTTTCTCTCTCGCTCTCTATTTCGCTTCTCTCTCTCTCTCTCTCTCCCCCTCCCGCACAGACATCACGCATGTCTCGTTCTTCCCATATAGATATATGTATAGTTGTTTCTTTCTATATCTCTATCCCCTTCCTTTTCTCTCAAGCTAATTTCCCTCTTACGACGGGCGGCGTAGGTTAAGGCATCGGCAGCCGAATTTTCACATCAGACCTCGCGAGTTGGTGCCGCCCAAGTCTTGTGGCACACGCACGGTTTACGCAGAATCGTGCAGCCGTGCAGCGACATCTTGAACGGCGGGACAGATGGGGGGGCCGCGTGATGCCAGCAGCTTTTGACATCGGCGCCACCCCAACGTACTTATACTACATGTGCGTCGCCCCCCCCCCCCCCCTCCCAGGGGCGACGCGCGCACCGAGAAATGTCATAGTATGTGCGTCGTGGCGGGCGCTTTCTGGCCACACCGCTCGGGAAAAGATATACTACAAGATGGGTATACTATATGCTCGGTTCGGACGCGCGTCTCCAAGGAAGACATGTAGCACTACAAGACTCGTCAACTATATCCATACATTGAAGTTGAAATCCTGGAGCACGATGCTTTCGGACACTTGTCAGACAGCGCGTTCTTCAATGCTGAGAGAGTGAGGTCGGTTTTTGGACAACACCGCGTCCGAGTTAACAGGCATCCGCCAGCATTGAAGTAGCGGTGACCACACAATCACCGAATTCAGAAGTCTTCTATTCATTTTTGACGAGGCTTGTAGTATGTCCTTGTGCGTCCCATGACACGCCCTCTCAACCATGCAAGCTTGCTCGAGCGACTGCCAGCGCAGGACTTCTTGGCCACGCGCGTCACTATGGGGCCTGTGGCCCGACCCCCCCTCCGAGTCGAGACCACGAGTCGGGGAGGGGGCAGAGGCCGTGCGCCAGGACGAGCCACGGGTGACCGAATTCGAAGAAGAACAAAACACATGAACATAAATGTTTGGCCCTCCGCGCGGATTTCTTGGATCCGCGCTGGGAGCCCCCTGGCGGCGCCTGCGGCGCCGCCCCTGGCGCGCTCCGCGCGCCAGGGAGGGGGTCACAGCGCGGATCCAAGAAATCCGCGCGGAGCGCGAAAGGTTTATGTTCATGTTTTTTTTTTCTGTTGTTTGTTCTTACCAGGAAAACATTATTCTACAGATACCCATCGGACCTTCGCTGCCATTACTTTTTCGGTGCGGGGGTCCCGAGTCATCGACCTCCTTCTGGGGCCGTATGTTCATCCTGGATTCTGCTGATTCCAAGCTGCCCACAGAGGCCGAAATTGATCAAGCTAACAACTTCCTCCTACCAGGCATGTGGGAGACGGACTGGGAGAGATTCGGTCTCACGGGTGAGGGTGGTGCGAGTCACGTCAGGCCGATACTCGCTCACCAGACTACGGCAGTATTCGGGAGTTCAGGGCGCAAGCAGGCCATCGCGTCATTGCGCCCCCGTTCAGGCGTACGGTATCGGGCAGGCCTAGCATGCTGACAAGTCGTTCCAGAGCGCTCTTAGAGCGTTGCAGAGCGCCCTAGAACCGGTTGTGAGATCTGATACATCATACAGACCCGCCAGCTCTCAATGATGCCCGACTTATCTTCATCCAGATGTACCATCATCTCTCCGTCGTCTTGCAGCATTCGATGGACAATGCCCATCCCGCTCTCGAGAGAATGGGGACGGGCCAAATGTCCCTCCTGCGCCGCCGACGCCTTGCTTCCCTGGGGCGCAGCGACAACGTGATGCGTTGCATCTCGCGGGTCGCTTGGGAGAAGACCTGCTGATGCTAAGGAGATAACACTAGTAACCCGTGCCATCCTCGCATCGTGAAAACAATCCCGACAGAAGTTTTTGGCATGTTTGGGCCTCAAGCGGGGCCTTGACTGGGCCCGGGCCCTGGTACATACTGTCAAACCCCTGTCCAGTAGGATGAGGAGCCCCCCCCCCGAGGCAGTCTGGACCTGGGGCGCCACGTCGTGAAGCATCACGGCGTCGGACTTTTATCGGGCTTGACACTGGACGCAAGATTGCGCGGCTGACGAGGGCATTTGGGGTTAGGCTGCCGAAGCCGAAACCGACTCCCCGTTGGGTGGGTGGAGGCTACGCTTGTGGACAATGGAGAGGAAGCATGTTGCCAAATAATTTCCAGATGTCTAGAACATGTCTTGAACATGTTTAAAACATGTGTGTAACACTTTTCCTAAATTGCAAACACATTTAAAAGTCAATGATAGGACTGTCAGGGTGTCCATTGTCGTGGCATCGACAAGGCTACGCGCTCACACCCCTGGCTCCCGATCACCATCACGAAAGAGTCTTGAACGCTCTATGCTTCAAGGCGTCGGGGGTCCGTACCCCGTGGGCGAAACACACATCCGTCTCCGCTGCCCCGCGGGCCAGGCCCCTGGGCCGTGACCCCGCGTGCTTTCGCGGACGCACCGCGCGGAGCGTACCTGTGCGACCGCGCAGACGCGGGATCGCGCCCCGGAATCTAGACCGCGAGGGGGGCGTCGAGAGCCTCGAGGCGGGGGTCAATGCAAGCGGGGGTCAGCCAGGGCGCCCGATCTTGCAGGATCCTGCAGGGCCAGGGCCGCACTGACCCGGGCTCGGGCGCAGGATCCTGCATGATCCTGCAGGTCCTGACCGACCCAGGTCTTGGGTCGACCCAGGTCGGAAGATCCCCGAGAGCGGATGCAGAGGTGAGGCCGCGTCTTGCGTGACGCACGGTCTGCTTCAGGCGTCGGGGGTCCGAGCTCCGTGCTGCACCAGCTATGTGTCTCGTCTGCGGCAGCCGGTCCACGACGGGTCGGCCACGCGCAGAGGGGGGTATGTCGGGTTGGCCCCAAAAGGGGCTCCAGCTACTACTACTCTTACGACTACTTCTCTTACTACTCTGATCTTACTACTCTAATGCTACTACTACTACTACTGCTACTACTACTACTACTACTACTACTACTACTGCTACTGCTACGGCTACTGCTACTGCTGCTGCTCCTCCTCCTCCTCCTCCTCCTACTACTACTACTACTACTACGACTGCTACTACTACGACTGCTACTACTACTTCTTCTTTTTCTTCTTCTACTACTACTACTACTTCTACCACTACCACTACTACTACTACTACTACTACTACTACTACTACTACTAGTAGTAGTATCACTACTACTACTACTACTACTACTACTACTACTACTACTACTACTACTATTACTACTACTACTACTACTACTACGACTACTACTACTACTACTACTACTACTACTACTACTACTACTACTACTACTACTACTACTACTACTACTACTACTACTACTACTACTACTACTACTACGCTACTACTACTACTACGACTACTACTACTACTACTACTACTACTACTACTACTACTACTACTACTACTACTAACTACTACTACTACTACTACTACTACTACTACTACTACTACTACTACTACTACTACTACTACTACTACTACTACTACTACTACTACTACTACTACTACTACTACTACTACTACTACTACTACTACGACTACTATACTACGACTACTACTACTACTACTACTACTACTACTACTACTACTACTACTACTACTACTACTACTACTACTACTACTACTACTACTACTACTACTACTACTACTACTACTACTACTACTACTACTACTACTACTACTACTACTACTACTACTACTACTACTACTACTACTACTACTACTACTACTACTACTACTACTACTACTACTACTACTACTACTACTACTACTACTACTACTACTACTACTACTACTACTACTACTACTACTACTACTACTACTACTACTACTGCTGCTAAGGTGGTGGTGCACAAAAGATTTAGTGTTACATATTTGTGGGGTTGCAGTACATCTGCGTCGTGCAGTACATTCCGGGCCGCAAACATGTATTGCTGGATTTTCGCGTGCAATACATTCGTAGCAGTACAATGCAATCCAATTCTCCGGCGCAATACATTTGCAATACAATTGCCCCAAATCTATTGCACCACCCCCCTGCTTTGGGACCCCCTTTGGGTCACCCAAAGTATGGGGAGGGGGGGAAGCTTCGTAGAAGCACGCCTGCGTCTTAGAAGGCACGGGCCTTCTCTATAGATGTAAGACCAGCGCCGCCTAAGATTCGGCCTCCTCTTAAAAAGCCTTCCCCCCTCCCTCTGCCCCCCTCTGCGCGCCCCCAGACGGGGGCCAGTCGCAGCCGACCCTTTGTCTGCCCTTCGGGCCCGCAGGGGGTGCGCTGCTCGAGGCGCGCCCGATCCGTGCCGCGGGCACCCACCCAGGCTGCCGATCCCCGTCAGGCTTCGTTCAGCTGCGCCGCCGATCCGCATCAGGCTTCGCTCAGCTGCGCGCGGAGAAGGGGGCGGCGCGGGGGGCGCGTTGTTCCGTCGAAGAACCAACAGCTGCACAGACTCGTGGACGGCGATCATTGGAGAGCATGTTGCCAAATAGTTTCCAGATGTTTAGAACATGTTCTAAACTTGTCCTAAACATGTCTTAAACATCTTTAGAACATTTCCCTTCCATTTTGAGCACACTTGTAATTCAATGATAGGATTGATAGGGTGTCCGTTGTCATGGCGTCCACAAGCATGCACATGAGTTCTCGGAGGTCCGGGCGGATTTCTTGGATCGGCGTTGCGCCCTGGCGGCGCCTTCGGTGCCGCCACCGGCGCTCTCCTCGTGCCAGGGGGGGGGGCCAAGTATGTGTATGCTGGTGTGTGTTCATCTATTCCAGTAAGCCTTCTCAAAAGCTCCGGTCCATTCTAAGAAGCAAGACCGCTCCGTCGCCCCGACCCCCGTAGCGCGTCGCCGATTCACGTCAGTCGTTGCCCGTGCCATATCTGATGGTCTTCTGCCCAGCCTGCCGCGTC